TGACTTTTAAGAGTAGCTTTATGCTCAGTGCCCTGGATATAGTAAAAGGTGAGGAATGGGGACCCAGACTTGGAAACAGCATTCATGCAGTGGAATGTCTCCAAGTGAAGGTGTTTTTAATAGGATGGAGGGCGCAGAGCAAGGGCTCAGAGCTTAGCTGTGGCTAGTTTTAGAAGCATTGGAAATGTGACCAATGACCCTGGGAAGGGATCAAAGGAGCAAGGAATCCAGGTGCAATGGAAAGGACTGGAAGTGACTCAGGCCTTCAAACAGAGCTGCAGGCCTTTTGCAGAGGAAGAGGTTCTCTGGGAATGCTTGAGGAATTCCAGAGAGGGGCTGAGGTCAGGAACAGATGTTGGTTCCTAGGAACCCCAGCAGTTTGATACTCTGAACTGAGATCATCTGTGAGATGGCTCTGCTAAAGAACTGAACAGGACCTGAGGACTCCTGTCTCTTACCTCTTCCTTTTCCAGGATGAAAGCCAGGGTCCAGGCCAAAGAGGAAAGTGATATCTAAGAAGCACAGAGCCAGGAGTAAGACCTGAGCATTGCTGGTATGGCCAAATTTCCCTCACAAAAGAGGAGCTGCCTGGCAATAGAGGGTGTTTGGATCTCCAGGAGCTGTCCTGTGGCCACCCCACTTTTGGTGCCTGCCTCCTAGACATGCTGGTGTTTGGAGGTGCATCCTGAATTAACATTTAGGGCTTAAAGGAGCAAGGTCCTATGACTGGACTGAATGGGACCCATCCTTTGGGACTCCAGTCCACTATGGCTCCAAGCTTCTGGGGACTCTCATGGCAAAGCTTTCCAGACAGTGTTTCTCTGACTTAGAGAAGCTAAGAAGCTTCTTAACTCCCATCTCATTTGGGAGCGTGAATCTAGAACCCTTGCTTAACTGTTCTTCTCCACCACAAGGAGAGAGTGAATGTTCTACAAAAGAAAATGTTCTCAGAGTAAGAGATCTTGGGGGTCTTCAGTGGATCGAGATCCTGAGGTGAAGATCTTGTTCATTTGTTCTTGAGGCAAACGAGAGCAGAAAAGTGTTGGAAAGAGATGTACTGTCTGAGCCCAGCAGTATCCCTGCATGTGCTGCTTTGTGATGTTCAGGGTGTTTCCTTATCATGAGGCCTGCCTCTCCGTCCTTAACATTCAACACTCCATCCCACGAAGTGGGGTGCTGTGGGTTCTGCACAACTGTCCTCTTCCTGCCCCACCTAATAGAGTCCTCTTTCTACTTCCCCACACATCTTACATATTGAGAATGTGTCAACACCTCCCATCACTCTCCATTCAGTCCATAAGTGCTGGTGAAACTTCCAGAGTCCTTGGTCATCTGTTCTCCCCCTCACTAAATCAATACTATCTATTGCTGGGACCTGAGCAACAACAGTACTGCAGGTCGGGAGCTTGCCTTGCACATGGCCAACCTGGGTTTGATTCCCTGGCACCCTATATGGTTCTCTGAGTGCTGCCAGGAGTGATCCCTGAGCACAGAGCCAGAAGTAATAGTTGAACATTTTGAATGTGATCCCTCCAAACAAAATAAAAACAAAACAAACAAAAATAAAAACATTAGCTACTGTTACTGGAATAACTGTTACTGATGTTCCAGTTTGTGGGGACAATATTCATATCAGCATTCCCAGCATATTATCAAGTGTACCTTCTTCTATCTTCAGAAGTATCCTTGTATGGGAACTAAAAATCACACATTTATCATCATTACCAATCTGAATTAGGCACAAACCTGCTGATCTCAATCTACCTTTCTAAATATACCCTCTACTTCACACAAACCCTTAATCCAAAGATCTTTCCAAGAGATTTCCAGCTATTGTGCTAAACGTCTCCTCATTGGAATATCTAGACTTCAGCCATGTCTCTTTTTTTAACACCTAGCCCAAAATACCTCTAAGAATCCCTGAACTTGTCAATTCATCAAAACCTAGATTAAGTTCCCATCTGATGTCACTAGCCAAGCAAGTGAAAACAGAGATAGACAAATAGGACTATCTTAAACTAAGAAGCTTCTGCACCTCAAAAGACAGTGACCAAAATACAAAGACAGGCTATAGAATGAAAAGGATATTCACCCAATAAACATCCGACAAGGGGTTGATATCACAAGAATATAAAAAGTATTGGCTGAACTCCACAAGAAGAAAACATCCAACCCCATCAAAAAGTGGGGCGATGAAATTAACAGAAACTTTCTCAAAGAAGAAATCCGAATGGCTAAAAGGCATATGAAAAAATGCTTTACATCATTAATCATCAGGGATATTAGATCAAAACAACAATGAGATATTATTTCACACCACAGAAACCGGCCTACATCCAAAAGAACAAAAGCAACTGGTCTTGGTGCGGATGTGGCAAGAAAGGGACCCTCTTTCACTGCTGGTGAGAATGCCAACTGGTTCAGCCCTTTTGGAAAACAGTATGGTCAATTCTCAAAAAATTAGAAATTGAGCTCCCACTTGACCCAGCTATACCACTCCTGGGAATATATCCCAGAGAGGCAAAAAAAAGTATAGCCATAGTAACATCTGCACTTGTTTGTTCATTGCAGCACTGTTTACAATAGCCAGAATCTGGAAAAAACTGAGTGCCCGAGAACAGATACTGGTTAAAGAAAGTTTGGTACACCTACACAATGGTGTACTATGTAGCTGTTAGAAAAGATGAAATCATAAAATTTACATACAAGTGGTACTACATGGAAAGTATCATGCTAAGCAACATGAGTCAGAAAGAGAGAGATAGACATAGAAAGATTGCATTCATCATGGGCTGGGGAGATAGCACAGCGGTAGGGCATTTGCCTTACAAGCAGCCAACATGGCCGACCCGAGTTTGATTCCTCCACCCCTCTCAGAGAGCCCGGTAAGCTACCGAGAGTATCTTGCCCACGCAGCAGAGCCTGGCAAGCTACCCGTGATGTATTCGATATGCCAAACACAGTAACAACAAGTATCATGATGGAGACGTTACTGGGCCCGCTCTAGCAAATCGATGAACAACGGGAGGACCGTGAACTACGGTGATCATCTAAGGAATATAAAGTAACAAAAATAGGAGACTAATACCCAAGAATAGCTGAGATAAGTACCAGGAGGTTCACCCCATGGCTTGGAGGTCAGCCTCACATACTAGGGGAAAAGGCAGCTCAGATAGAGAGGAGAGCACCAAATAAAGGTGTTGGGAGGATCCTCGCAGGATGAGAGATGCATGGTGAAAGTGGACTATAGATCAAATATGATTGCCACTCAGTGCAAACCACAGCACCCAAAAGGAGAGAGAGAACAAAGGGGAATGCCCTGCCACAGAGGCAGGGTGGAATGGGAGGGATGGAGGGTGGGAGAGATACTGGGATCAGTGGTGGTGGAAAATGGTTAGGGGTGGAGGGATGGGTACTCGATCATTGTATAATCAAAACCCAAGCACAAAAATTTGTAAGTCTACAACTGTACTTCATGGTGTTTCACTAATAAAATTTTTTTAAAAAGTTCCCATCTGAAGCCTCTTTCTAAGCCCATGATGTCTTAATCTAAATAAGCTTTGTGTCAGTCTTTCGCCCACTTCCCAATGCCTGCATTACCTACATATTCTGGGTTAGAGGGTGATCATCTCAAGGGAGAATATACAAGTGTGGAGTAACAGGTCTTAAGGGATTTGGGGAAAATATGAAGCTATGAGAGATCTTTGACATGACAACATAAAATTAGCAAGGAAAGGAATATTGATGAGGTCACAGATAAAAACATGAGTAAATTTCTTGGCAGCTGGGACACCACTCTTAAGTTTCAGAATTAGGAGAATACAGTTCTATGAGTTTCACCCCAAATCTCACCAAAGACCAGCTGAGTCAAAGTCAATTTTTTTTGGCTTTTTTGGTCACACCAGTAACAATGATGGGTCTCATTCTCCTAAAGAGCCTTGAATATTACCTCAAGGCCAGGATGAAGGAGAAGTTACTGGGGCCTGCTTGAGGCAATTAACAAATAACAGGATGATTTGTGATTTGTGGTCACACTGGATAATTCTCGGGGGTTACTCCTGGCTCTATACTCAGGAATTACTCATGGCAGTGTTAAGCGGACCATGTGGGATGCCAGGGATCAAATCTGGGTTGGCTGCGTGCAAGAAAAACACCCTACCTGCTGTATTATCCCTTCTGTCCCGCAAAGCCCATTTCTCAGGAACACATTCCCACCCTCAAGACCATTCCTCTCATCCCCCCTCCATGGTCCTTCCTGCTCCACTGTAAACAAATCCACCCACCCCAAAAAACACAATGTGATTGCAATATGAATATCACTAATATATTCCATTTAATAGCACAAGTTGCAAGAACAGCATATAAATAAAAATACAAACCGTTTTCATATCAATGCTTCTGGAAAGACCCTCACAGGCTTCCAGGAAGGGAGGGGAAGAAGAGGAACATGATTCACTTTTCAGGGGATTGAACTGGACTCACAGAGGAAAAGGAGGTTGACAGAACCTTTCCACTATATATTTGTATTTCACTTATTTATGGATCCTCCTTCTTTTTTATTCATATGACATATGACATCACATACATTTAAGATATACAGCATGTTCTGATGCATTACATATTATACAATGATTGCTTCTGCAGCCCTGTCACATTACCTGCTTAGAGCACTATGCGATAATACTTATGATGGAATCAAATGAAAAATAAAACACAGAAAAACAGAGAGTAATACGGTGGCTGCCAGGGAATAGAAGTGGGGAGAAGAGGTAAGATGAATGTTATTTGGGAGCACAAATGGGCAGCGTGGGGTACATAAACCAGAGTGACCAAGTGCATGAAATAAAACATGAAACTTCACACTGTGCAAACACATATTGATGAAAGATCTTCTAAAATGTATATAACACAAATGGGAAAGGTTATAAATAATTAAATTAATCTATCCCTTTTGGAATGATGATAAGTTTATTTGAGAATGCATCCACAGAGACCAGGAAAAAGGAGCCAAATCCTTCTCAGGCTTTTCTAGGGGTCTGAGATTTCTGGTCCAGATATCTGATGGCATCTTGGACCCACTTGTCTTTGGGATCAGCACAGATACTCTTGTCCATTTTGGTCTTGAAGCTGTGGGAGAGAAGACAAGAAATCAGAAGGGTCCTCTTTTTAAAACCACGCTCTTTAACCCTAAACCTTCTAAGACTATCTGCCATGCAACAAAGGGCAGTGATGGCAAGGAGGGCAGAACAGTGCTTAAAGTTAGATGCTGTTCTGTTGGCCCAGGAAAATGATCCTTGCTCTTGACGCAAAGAAACTGGTAGGGATCTGGGAAGGAAAGTTTTCTGTTGTGAGAATTCCTGGGTTGCATTAGAAAGGTAGACTCTCTGCATCTGTGTTCTGAGAGACTAATACAGTTCTTGACTTCGGCCCCTTAGAATTGAACCTTCGGATTGAGAGATCTTTGTCCACTTACATAACAGCTTTCCGAGGACATCTGCTGTTGGTGATTCTTCTATAACTCTGTAGCCGCTGATTAGGGACCTTCTTATTGACCATACTAAAGCAGCAGGTGGCTGGAAGAGACCCTGAATAGCAGGGAGAAATGAATAGTAACGACGAGCCACTAAGAATGTGTAGAAATTTTAAAGCCTGAGATTGAGATGAAGGAAGAAAATTTAGGACAAGACGAAGCAATTCAATATGCAGAAAGAGAATTGATCTGTGCTGAGGACCTTGTCTTTGATTCGGAAGGGCCAAGCCCAGAAAGAGGGGGCCCATCCCTGCAGGCAAGGGTATAAGAAAAGGCGTAGTATATGGTTGTGTGATAGTCAAAGTACCATTCACCAAATAGTCCCCATTCTCTACTACTCTACCCATCGAGGGACCCATAGTAGACTTACAATCTTTGCTTATAACATGAGCTAGTTTTGACCAATAAGTGGAAAGACATAGTGACAAGTGACATATCTGAGCCACTTTGTGATACCCAGTCCATGTCTCATAAAACCTTCCTTTTCCACTGTCAGAGGGAGCAGCAACTTCTCCTGTCCATCTCCCCACCCATTGCTGCCCAATTTGCCTGAATTCCAAGTGCCTAAGGCAGGAGATCCCTAATCTATGCATTAAAGACATTCAGCATGAAGGAGCAGTCCACCCTCTATTGACTTGTCTGATGCCGCTGCTAATTTGGGATTATTTATTGTTGCACCAAACACTTTCAGATTATCTAAACTATCTGGACTAATACACTCAATCAAATTAGCTATCAGAGGCAAAATATGTCACTTCCAGACATTCTTCTGGAACCTCATTCCCTTCCTCTAATATCTTTTGGAATCCAGTAAAAATTCTGAGACTCCAATCTAGTGATTATTTTTTTCCTTTTACAACTACCAAGGATCCTATAGTCAGAGAAGGTCTTTCCCAGGTGTTCCCCAACCCCTAACACTGCAGAGGGAGCTACCCACCGATGCACACAGCATCTCTCTCAGTAATCATGTCAAGATTGAAATTGGGGCTGGCCAAGGTGACCCGGGCTTTAGTAGTCCTGGTCATTCCACTGACGGTGATATTGAGCCCTTCTTGTCCGTTTCCAGGACCAATTTTCCCTCCTTGGAAATGCAGGAATAATAAAAAGCCCCTGCAGACATTTGCAGCATTGATAGCACAGAAGGAAGACTGGGAAGGCGATGGATTTTCTTGTAAGAGAGGGGGCTTACCTGGCTGAGCAAGCAGCTGGGTGCTGAGGACTGCAACTGTGAGCATCAGGCACAGAAGAACAGAAGAGACCTTCATCGTAGAGAGGAGAAGACAAGCTTCAGCCCAAGAGTCCGAGGGTCTGGGTTTGTCTTGGGTGCTCTGCAGTTCTGGCAGCTCTGCCTGCTTTATAAAGATAGCAGAGAGAGGGAGGGCTTCCGAGGAAATCTCAGTCTGGGCAGGGTTATCATCACAGTCAAAGGATGATGAAGTTGGAAGTCAAAAATCAAGTCATGATTCCTGGCAGGCTAACATGTCATCCTAAGTCTCATGGGTGGGGACTTGGCCCCTGTTTCTTCCATCCTGAGGCTTCGAGTGAGGGTGGAAGGGAATGTTGTGCTTGTGAAATGACTGAGTACTGGGATGGGATGGGGGTGGGGGGTGGGGGAGTAATTTGAGAAAGTCTTTATTGAAAACGCTATTTTCTCAGCTGTGAAACATCTGAAGTCTGGGAAAGAAGCAAGGAAACCAAGGAAGCATGAAGAGAGGATCTTAAAGTCCTCCCCTGACCTCAGTGCGCACAAGATGGATCTTTAGGACTTTGGAGACCAGGAAGAGACCCTCAGACTCCTTTACTAAAGGTACACACAGTGTTCTTGATGTTCATAATACATTATAAAATGATTGCCACAGTCAAGTTAACTCACATGGCCATCACCTTTTTCAGGGAGGATGGGGGTGGGAATGAGAACACTAAAGATGTGATCTAGAAAATTGAAATTATAGCCTACATTATTACCAACCATAGCCACCTTGATCTACTTAAATCTCCCAAATTAACTCATCTTATAACCAAAGCTGGGGGCTGGAGCGATAGCACAGCGGTAAGGCGTTTGCCTTGCACGCAGCCAACATGGCCGACCCGAGTTAGATTCCTCTGCCCCTCTCGGAGAGCCCGGCAAGCTACCGAGAGTATCTCACCCGCACGGCAGAGCCTGGCAAGCTCCCCGTGACGTATTCGATATGCCAAACACAGTAACAACAAAGTCTCCAATGGAGACGTTACTGGGCCCGCTCGAGCAAATCGACGAACAACGGGAGGGCCTTTACCTTTTATAACCAAAGCTTATGTCCTTTGATTAAGATCCATTTAGAAATACAAATGCAAACCACAAAGATAGTACAGCAGGCAAGATGCTTACCTTTCATGCACCCAAACCAGGTGTGGTCCCCAACATCACATGTAATTCTCCGAGCCCTACAAGGATAGACCCCTGAGTGCAGAGTATAGATATGTCTGGCTTCCAAAACTAAACAAAGATAAAGAAAAGAAAAAGAACACGTGTCAGTGAGAATGTGGAGAAATAGGCACTCGAATGCTCTTTTGTTGAAAGAGTAGATTGGTGCAGCCCCTATGGAAAATAGTATGGTGGTCCTGCATTTCTAGACTATGTTATTATCTGCAAAAGCTCCCCTCATCCTCCCACCACACCCTCCAGCTATGGAATCAAGTAGCAAACTTGATCCTATCAAGCACAATACAGTGAAGTGGATCTTTCTGAAGAAAAATGGTGGTCCTTATGTTCACCCTCCTCTCTCCACCCCAAGGATTCAAGGCATATATTTGGAAGATCAGCGATGGAATTGTCCCTCAACTATACCTTCAACAACCACTGCAGACAAGGAGACTGGTAGCTAATTGGTCAAAGAGTAAGAAGAGACAGTAACTGACCTGTATACTCTTTGTGCATAACACAAGCTGGAGAAAATGCCAGGGCATGCCATCATTATGAAGTCATTAATGAGACGTTTAATTAGATCTTGGTGGTAAATAAAAAAAATGAGCACTCACATGAAAACTCTACAGTCTATTTCCTGGGCATTTTATGCACACGGATATATCACACTGATTGTTTGGTGTGGGTTGTGTGTTGAGGAATTCTGGGGTTAATTACCTTGGCTCAGTAGAAGGTGATGTTGCACTTGAAAGTTGGTCTGTCAAGGGTAAAATCGTTTCAGTCTAGTTCCCAGACTAAAATTCGGGGGTAAAAGATAGTACAGGGGATATTGTGCTCACCTTGCATCAGGGTGATACTATTTTGAATTCCCAGCAGCACATATGGCCCCCTGAGAATATCCAGAAGTCACGGAATCTGAAATATCCCCTGAATAGCATTGGATAAGGACCAAACACCACCCAAAACCCCATATGAGGGTCACATAGAGAACAGGAAAACTGAAACTTCTTTGTTTTTCTACTCAGACCTAGGGGAGGTAACATAGTGTGGCCTCTGAAGTTAGGATACTGAGTTTGGATGATGGTTCTACTACTAGTTAGCTTTGAAATCATGGACATCTCACTAATCACTCTTCTGGGTTAATTTGTGTATGTTGATTTCAGTCTACTGATTAGAGGGATGGCACAACCATATCTTAATCTTATATTAAGGTTTCATCACCCCTTGCCCCCCCCCCAGCCTGCCTCTGTGGCAGGCACTTCTCTTCTCTCTCTCTCTCTCTCTCTCTCTCTCTCTCTCTCTCTCTCTCTCTCTTCCTCCATTGTGGTTTGCAATACAGTACTGAAAGGTTATCCCCTTTGCCTACTTTCAACACTCAGTTCTTGTCCAGAGTGAGTGATCATTTCCAACTATTATTGTCATACTGCTCCCTTCTCTATCCAAGGTAAAGGTAAAGGTAAAGGCCCTCCCGTTGATCGTCGATTTGCTCGAGCGGGCCCAGTAACGTCTCCATTGGAGACTTTGTTGTTACTGTGTTTGGCATATCGAATACATCACGGGTGGCTTGCCAGGCTCTGCCATGTGGGCGAGATACTCTCGGTAGCTTGCCGGGCTCTCCGAGAGGGGCAGAGGAATCGAACTCGGGTCGGCCATGTTGGCCGCTCCTAGGCGAACGCCCTACCGCTGTGCTATCACTCTAGCCCTTTAACAATAACCTTCAGGAAATTTTTAAAAACACAAATTTATTACTAATAAGATATAGAAGTTACCTCTCTATGTAACTTCTATCAAGATCTGGAAGTTTTATAAAGAGGTCTTGAGTAGATGAAGAGAGAGAACAGGAAATCTTTAACTGAGGTCAAGGGGTAGGGGTAGGGGTTTAAGGGCATGTTCTTTATAGGTGCATTCAAATAATAAAAGTAGAGGAATTTAAAGAGTAGAAAAAGAGAAAAGAAGAACAAAGGAAAGAAAGAATTATGTTCAATACACTAGTTAGTGAATTCTCCCAGGATTTGCAAATAAGAGGAGTATGGAAAAAGATGGCCTGGCTAGCCCTCTTTGAAATAGATGCCTTTTGGATATAAATATTTTGGTTTCACATACTTGCACTAATGAAGTCACTTTGTGAATTTACAATAATTGGGGATAATAATCATGCCTACTTTAAAGGAGTGTTTGTGTCCACTAAATGATCTAACATTCTTAAGGATAAAATATATAAACTTCTGGGGACCAGAAAGATAGTATAGCCTGTAGGGTGCTTGCCTTCCATGCAGCTAACAGCTAACCCAGGTTCAATCATCAGTACCACATGCAGTCTCTCGAATCTTCCAGGAGTGATTCCTGAGAACAGAGCCAGGAGTAAACCCTGAGCACCACTGAGTGTGACCCTAAAACAAAACAAACAAATAAAATAAAAGTATAAACTCTTATACAGTAAACCATATATAAAATTTGTTTCTACAAAATCAATACAATATATTATTATCACAAAAATACATAGAAGAGTGATGAGATCCCAGCAGATGCTCAGGAAATAGTTGCTCCTATTTATTATAAATGTGAAAAGTAGTCAATTTCGTGGACCAGGGGTCTGTGACGAAGGATCCAGAATTTAGGCAGATGACTTCTCCAAACTTCCCCCCTTCTGCCAAGAAGAATTGCACCAGGGCTGGTTTCCAGGAATGCATGAACTTCTGCACATCTGGGAGAAGTGGGGGGTCTCATAAGCTATGGAATGTTCTTGACTTCAGAGGTGTTTGGCTGATGTCATCAAGTGATTATTTTCATTAGTAGAAAGGATTTCATAACTCTGCTGGGTATTTTTCAATGAATTCTCAGCTTTGTGTTTTCTTCCCTAAGCTTTGGTTTAATCCAGATCAGATAATTCTCAGTGAAAATAAATAAAAGTTGATGATCTGGACACATCCACATTCAGCAGCTGCTCCCTCCAGCTGTCTCTGAGTGGGAGCACCCTCAAAGCCGGCTTGTGTTACATATACCCAGGTTCTGTGGCTCTCAAAAAATAATAATTAACAGGAGACCAAAACTCTTTTTTTCCCTGACATTTATAGAGGGAAGGATCTTGTGGAAGTGAAGTTAACAGGAGACCAAAACTCTTTTTTTGCCTGACATTTACAGAAGGAAGGATCTTGTGGAAGTGAAGTAGTAAGCAGACAGGGAGGAAACCCCACACCCCTTTGACAATGAACTTTGGGGAATTCACAAATCTAAGATATTATCTAAAAGAAGTCATTTCTTCTCCAACCCAAACTCAAAGACGAGACCCCCCACCCCCCAGAGGAGACCATTCAACAGGAACATAGACCCTGTAAGACTCGGAAGGAAGGCGAATACCAGAGCTCATAGTTCTTTGGCCTTGACAATGCCTCCCTGGCAAGGACTCTCATCTGCACAGTGCATCACGCTGAGGCAAAATATTCTGTATTCACCTTCCTGAAGCCACTCAGGGACTGGATTCTAGAGTTTTCCATATCATTCTTCTCTGAGTGTGTTAACTAAATGTCTTTTGGAAACTGGGTCAAAAATTAATATTAGACAAGGACAACTGTCCTTTCCCAAAGCCAAGACAAGGAGAACTTGTCTTCAGGTAACCCTCCTCTTAAAGTTTCACTTTACTTTGTTTAAGCTTGTACATAAGATGGAGCCCACCTCTGATAACTCACCAGGGAATTTTCCTGTTAGTTCTGGCAGCTGCTGCGGTCCACCCTTTCTCCCCACATCATTCCCTATTAAAACTTCTTCTCTTGACATGTAGACAATATGGTTCCTGTGAGGACAAGAATCCATAATCTTCCAGCCTACTGGTGTATTGCCAATAAGCTCTTTCTTGACCTGGTGCTGCTCTCTTCTTGGTTTGATCCCCTTAGTAG